GAGGAATAAAATGCACACATAAAACAATGGCTATAATATGAAAATGTCTTCTAAATATGACCAGTCTGGCATAGAACCTTCTTTTCTTCCTCCTCAAGGTCTTCTACTCCATGTCCTCTAACCCATGAAAGAAATGTGGATGTGTGTCATTTCTAGAGGTAGTCTAATAATTCCATTTCAAAGTCATTTCCAGAAGACATTTATTTTGATATATTTTTTAAATGGGCATTTGGCAAGATGTATGATTTTCTAACTCTACTTTATCCTACGTTGGCAACCTCTTTACATCTAGAAGCTCTAGATGTAACAAGGTTATCTTTTGAAAGGTTAGAGGGAAAGTTGAGAGCAGCTTTTTAAATATTATATACACAGGCCTCTATAAACAGCCAGTAAATCTTTCCGAACGGTGGTGGGCACTTCCTATTAGCCAAAAATGATATGTTATTCTGCCATTTCTCTCTTCCAAAATTACAGTCTATAGTAGAACAAAGACCAACCACTGATGGCTTACTAACCATTCTACCTGTCATGGATTGGGGCTCCACTCATCTTCCTGGGGCACTAAGGCCTTTGTCCATCGTTGTCAGGATGAGATGAGGTCTCCTCCAATTGGGAGAGGAGTCACCCAAGGTGCCGCATCTACAGGCTCCAAAGCCTAAGGGTGGGCAAGCTTGTGTCCACACAGACCCGCCTTTCGGGCCCTCCATGGCCCTAAGGGCCTCCCTCTGCCACATTCCAGTGGTCACCATTCTTTTCGCCCACCACACCCAATGCTCAAGGCAGGGCAGCCTTGGTGACTTGGTGCTTGGCCGGAGCTTTGCTTAGATCCCAGAGGGTTGGGCCTAGAGCCCCAGACATCTGCAGGATGTGGATCTGCAAGGTCACCGCCTTGAGATCGTAGAGGTGGGGGTGGGGGGAGAGGTTTACTGCTGCTTCAAAGCCTGGGCCCTGCCAGTAGACAACCGCAGGATGGGCTCTGGGCCTCTGCAGCACAGAGCCTGCTAATGCTGCCTGTCCCCAGGTTCCCCAGCTCACCTGCCCGCCAAGGCCAAAGGGCCTGGAGGGACCTGGAAGAACCCAGAGGAGAATGCCGCACTCTGCTTCTCAATGTACTTTCTGCTTCTCACTGTGCTCTCTGCTAGAACTCCATCCTTCATTTTTAACTGGTCCTTTATTATGCTCTTGAGATACTAAGTTCCTTGAGCATCCTTATAACCAGTTTTTAACTGCTAGATTGCTTACCTCCATTTTGTTTAATTTTTTCCTGAAGTTTTGTTCTGTTCTTTCATTTGGGACATGTTTCTTTGTCTCCTCATTTTGGCTGCCCCATTGTGTTTGTTTCTATGTATCAGGTAGAGCTTCTGTGTTTCCCAGGCTTGGTAGGGCAACCTATTGTAGTAGGTGTCCTGTAGGGTCCAGTGGCACAGCCTCCCTGATCACCCCAGCTTGTCACTCAAGGTACACCCCCCCATGTGGACTGTATACCTTTCAGTTGTAACTGAGTCTTGACTGCTGTTGGCACATCAATGGGAGGGATTTACTCAGGCTGATCAGCTATAAGAACTGGCTGTGACCACTGACCATCAACCTCTGACCACCTTGGAGAACCAACTGTGCAGGGGCCTACCACACAAAGCAAGACTTACTTAAGCAGGCCCACTGAGCCCACCCCTTGAGTGTGTTGCTTATGGAGGTGGTTGAGTGGATGTGGTTTGATGTGGTCTGAAGCTGTCCACTGGGTGTGCTGGCTCTGGGGCCTCCCAGGAGGCACAGGCCAAGGTCAGCAACTGCCTGTGTTCTACCCCAGGGCCACCAGGCATAAGCTACAAAGCTATCTACAGAGGGCTGCTTCTTGTGCTGAGCTTAATGGTGCCCAAGCAAGGGCAAGCTATGAACCAAGGCTGACTGCTGCTGGGCTGGGGATGGGACTGGGACCACTTAGCAAGAGGAATGGGGCTCACTGAGGCCAGCTGCTGCTTGTTTGAAAGATTTTAGGAAAATCCAAAGCACAAGCCCAGACAGGCCATTACTATGGTAAAGCCACTGGAAATAGCTTGGATGGGCATGGCCTCAGGAAAACACCAGGGCAGGGGAAAGCCTGGTTGCTGGAGTACCAGATATGATGCCCGTCTGCCAGCCACATGAGGAAAGGGCTCTCCAAAGAAACAATGGCCTCCACCAGCCTATCTGTCCAGGAGAAGGCTGCCTCTCCAGCTCTCCCCCTGATGCCAAACAACTCAGTTCTCCCCTGTATGTCTCTGGTACCTTTCAACACCCCCCACCCTAGCACTAGAGCCCAGAGGGAGTGAGTCCGAGTAAGTACATGCATGGGCCCTCTAGGAGGAACTGCCTCAGCCTCAATTCCCACTGGTTTTCACAGCCAGAAGTTATGGGGACTTCTCTTCCTGGCACTGGAACCCTGACCTGAGCTGGGGAACCCCTTTGCTCCTTGGGGAGGACCTTCACAACTGAGGTATCCCTCCTGATTTTTACCTACCACACATGCGTGTGGGACCATCCCTTCCCTGCCTCCACCCCTCCTACCAGTCTTGATGTGGCTTAATTTTGTAGTTGGACTTCCATTCAGCTTGATTTCAGGTGGTACTGAATGATGGTTGTTCTGTAGTTTAATTGTAATTTTGATGTGGTTGTGGGAGGACAGGATACCGCATTTACCTACACTGCCATCTTGTCCGGAAGTTCCTGTGTATCTTTTTAAGAAACACAAATTTAATACTGAAATAATCATGTACCACTGAATGGTTTTAAGCATGGGAATAACATGATCAAATATATCTTGGAAAGATCACTTTGATGGCCAGGTCAAAAAACTAAGTTGGATGGTAAATTTATATAAACACACAGTTAGGATGACACTACTGCAATTTGCTAGGTAAGATAATAATGATTTATATTAGGACAGTAGCAGTGGGGATGAAGTAGTGACTGAAGAGCTTTTTAGAAGGCAGAATCATTTGTAAGGGGAAGCAGTTGAAGATTATGGGCTAAATTTCTAGCTTTAGCAACTGGGATGGGTGGTAGTGCTATTTGATTTCACTGAGACACGAAACAGAAGGGCAGGCTTTCAATTAATGGAAGAAATAATGAGCTCTACTTCGAACACTTAGAGTTGAGTTGCCTGAGGGAACACTTACAAGGGTTTCCAATACACAGCTGATTATATTATATATAAAGTTCAGAAGACATCATTTACAAATACAAATTTGAAAATCAGCAGAGCTAATAACTGAAATGGGGGTAATGAAATCACTTAATTTTGTTTTTTGCATGCACCTGTCCTTCCTATTATTAATGGAAATTAACTATCATTGGTGTTAAGGTCTTCAATAAATTATTGTGATAAATGATCTACTCTAAAGCCAAGTAAGGTGAGAGCTTTTCAGGTATCAATCTTTTTTTTCTTTCTTTTCTCTAATCCTCACCCGATGATATTTTTCTATTTATCTTCAGATAGAGTGGGAGAGAGGGAGGGAGAGAAAAACATCAACATGAGAGGGATACATCAACTGGTTGCCTCCGTACGACCCTGATCAGGGCTGGGGACAAACCACAACCAAGGTACATGCCCTTGATTGGAATTGAACCTGCAACTCACTGGTCCACAGGCCAATGCTCTAACCACTGAGCAAAACCAGCCAGGGCCAGGTATCAATCTTTTTTAATTTTTTTAATCCTCACCTGAGGATGTATTTCTATTTATCTTCAGAGAGTAGGAGGGAGAAAGGGAAAGAAACATCGACGTGAGAGGGACACATCAAATGGTTGCCTCCCACACAACCCCAACCAGGGCTGGGGACAAACTGCAATCAAAGTATGTTCCCTTGACCGGAATCGAACCCGTGACTCATTGGTCTGCAGGCTGACACTCTACCACTGTGCGAAACCAGCCAGGGCCAGGTATCAATCTTATAGCAAAATACCCAATGTATTAAAACAGGAGAATGTTACCAACCACCTGCATGTATTAAGAAAACTTGCCTCTTATTATTTGCAAATCTCAAGAAATGATCCAAAGCCTAGATATTGAGAGAAACCGTGCTTAAGCCTCCATGTTCTAGACTGAAATCTTAAATTATGAAAGCATTTTGGTAAAAGAAAAATGATCACGTAACATGAGAGAAAAATCAGCTTTGTGAGGTCTGCAAATATTGGTATGTATAATCATAGACTTGAGAGGTCTGGAAAACTTTACCATTTCACAACCATTTTTTGTCCAATACCTAACTAAAATGGGCTTTAAATGTCTGCTTCATGAGCCTAGTATTTTCAAACCAAATATTTTCTTTATAAACTGTAAGAAATGATAATGGCAGAAAAAGCAACTTTATTTTGTCAATTTTAATACTAATTAGATTAAAATCTCTAGCACATGTGAAAAATAAGAAAATCTGCCTGGTCACTGTGGCTCAGGGGATTGACCACCATCCCATGGACTGAGAGGTCCCAGTTCAATTCCCTGTCAGGGCACATGCATGGGTTGCGGGCTTGATCCCCAGTAGGGCCTCATGTGAACAGATCAATGTCTCTCTCTCACATCAATGTTTCTATGGCTCTCTAAAATAACCAATAAAAACATTTTAAAAATAAGAAAATTATGTTTAAGAAATTTTGAAATATCAAGGCCATGTACTGACTTCATGAACAATTTTGATTGAACTGACATGGACAAATCACCTTAATTTTCAGAGTCAGAATATTTAATAATTACAGAAATTAAGTTGAAAACATTTAGAAACATAATCTTAATCCGACTCAATGGAATGATTCCTTCAACAGTGTGTGAAAGCCCTCACTTTGTGTTCCTAAGATAGTAAGGAGACGAGTGTTGTGGGTTAAGAAACACAAAGCATTAAACAAAACCTTCATGTACAAAACTTAGGATAGTATAGGAAGATTCTGTACCTAGTGTTTCTTAACCTCCAAATGGAGCAGGTAGATTAGAAATAACAAAAGATGACATTCCCAATTTGTCTGCACCTACTGTGTTTATCTTTTTCTTAAAACCCAACATAACTGCTTCTTTCCCTACAAAACAGGATCAAAATGCCCAAACCACCTCACCAACAAACCACCTCACAAGAGGATCTGACACCCACTACCCCTAAAAGAGCAAGACACATTCTGAGGTGAAAACTAGTTTTTATTTATTGTGTTAAAATAACTTTATAAAATGATTTGTAATTCTACATATAGAAAAATAACCACTGCATAATAAAACATATGCAAACTAGCTTCACTGCCTCTAGATTACTCTTCTTATTGATCTCAGATGGCATCACAGACTAGCAATAGTAGCTTCTGGCAAATGGAGACACATCAGTCAAGTCCTGCAGTGAAGTTGTGATTACTAAGGTTGAACTGTTTATTCCACCAATCTTACAACTTTCCTACATTTATGCATATATTCCTACTTCCTACAGAATAAGAGACAAATGAAATAGAAATTCACATTTATAATAGTCTGTAAGACAAATTCAAAGAAGGCAGCAAAGGAATTGCTGCAGTTACAGCCAGTCCAGGTGATGAAGCCAACATTTTTCTTCTAATGCTTACTACTCCATAGAATAAAGTATCAAAACTCTTCTTACTTTTCTAGAAGTGAGTCTAGCTCTTCTTGCAAAGAGCTGAGCTGTTCCTTTTCTCGGTCTTCCTTTTGTTTGAGTTCATCCAGCACAGCCTGAAATCTGTTCTTGAGAGCCAGGTTTTCCACTTTCATGATGAGATCTTCCTGTCGTTTTGCCCTATCCTGGGTCTCTTGGAGCTTGCCTTTCATGTTATCAATCTGTTTCTGAATTCCCATAACCAGCTGATTGGTTCCCTCATTTTCTTGGTGCTGTTCATCTGATGTATTTAGCTTGTCCTGTAGCTGTCTTTCCAGGTCTTCCTCAGTGTCAATTATGTTTATATCTTCCTCATCTTGATGCTGTGTCTCATCTTCATCTTCACTGCTGCTGCTGAGGTCATTGAATATCTCCCGAAGCTCATCATGTTCTAAGGAGTCATGGCCCTGCCTGTGGCCTGACATTCCTGGAGAAGAGATATCAAGGCCTTGATTTTCTGTTTCTTTTGTTTCATCCTCAGCAATTATTTCCCAACGAGTGCTGACAGCTTCAGCATCTGTACTCAGCAAACGCTTCACTTCTTTTTCCACATCTGGAGATTCAATATATTTCTTCTTTGCTGTCTTCCGGAACCTTCTCTTCCTGACATTTTTTAGAGGCAGAGTGATTCCATGGTTCCATATAAACTTTTTTTCTTTGTCCTTATCCTTCTTTTTGCTTGCTTTGGGATCAGCAGCAGCTGCTGCAGCAGCTGCAGCAGCAGCAATTGGTTCCTCCACTGGAGGATAGAGATCACCATCAATTGTGGATACGAGCATCTGACAGATATCAGCTGTCTTGTAAAAGGTTTTTTTATCAATGGTTTTCAAACTTTCCATAATACATGGTAGATCTACCAATTTTGAGGCCAGTGGGACACGATCCACTCTGACAATTCCATGACGTCCATCTGGGTGTAACTCTATTGTCAGTCTGTCCTTCAGGTTGACATGGCCAGACTGTACTGCCCGCCTCACAGTTGAGGCATATTCTGGAGGTAAACGTAAGATAAACTGGCTCTCTAGTTCATGAGGAGCATCATCTTTGCTCTTACTCATTTTTGTGACACTTCTCTAATAACCACTTGTTGCACTAAAAAGTTCCAGCTATTGCAACAGTTAGAAAGCCAAGTTTGTTATGAATTAAAATATTTAAGTATTACAGCAGCTAAGCGTCCATTTTCTTAATTTTGAATTAAGCACCAAGTCTTTTTAAATATACTGGGACTGAACAGCAGTTGTTACTGACACTGGCTTGCTTATTCACTTAGGTCCACTTAAATACATTAGCTGTAATGCCAAGTTCCAACCTCTAGATGCCGCTGCCGAGCAACGCAGAGAGCTGGCGAGCAGGAAAGCAAATGGCGGCTTCTGCAGACTGCTTTGCAGCACAGAAAGTTAAGGCACCAGCAGACACTCCCAATCCACAAATTTTCCCGGAACAAAGGCAGTCAAAAAGCGGGGCGCAGTGAGCTCTCTTCGCCTCGGATACTTACAATCCAGTGACGATTATAAACCCAGCTCCTCCGGACAAGAGCGAGCGGAACAGGAAGCCAATCGGAGCAAGGCGGCAGGGGGCCGACCGTCTTTTTCCTGATTCCTTTGTTCCTCCCGAATCTTAGGAAGGCGACCCGGTCTGATTATCAGTGAATGGCCGAGGGTGAGCAGCGCGAAATCTCGCCGAGATCCACAGCGCTGACTGCCAGACTCAGAGCTCTGCAGCCCCACAGACCTCAGTCCGGTGCTGCGAACCAAGCAGAGAAGAAAGCGCTACGTCACGGCACGGGGCGGGAGACTGCTGTGAGTGACAGCACAACTCAGACGGAAGTACGGACTGCCTCAGAGCACGCAGGCGCAATGCGCAATTACTCGCGCCGGCTTAAGACTGTCATCTCGCGAGATCTTGGCTTTATGCGCTGGGAATAACTTCTTAAAGAGCTATTGTTTAAAAATACTGTATTTATTGAGACACGGTTCCAAGAAAGACCTAGGTCCTTCTGCACCCGCCCCTTGCCCCGCCGCTCAACCAGAACTTTTATCGGATCGCGGTGAGGCCGGATAGCTCCTAAGCTTCCGGGTGATTGTCGGATACCGGGTATCCAACCCGGAAGCTTCTGCTTCTGGAAACACCTCGGATGCTTCCAGGGTGTATCCAGTTGGGAGCTGATAGAAGGACTTATAATCGTGCAGTGCATTACAAATTACCCAAATCAGTGGAGTGAGGAGGACATGCTGCCCATTATATAATTCTAAGTCATAACATTGGTTATGAAACTGGAGTGGACCCATACCTCAGGTTCTGTTTCTGTTTTGAAGGATCCCAAGGGAACAAGGGTGATTCCTCTTTTCAATATGTTTGATGTAGATATAAATGCAAAGAAGTGTCTTCTAGGGTTAAATGTTTGTTTAAGACAGTGTTGTCTGACAGACAGATGGTCTGATTGAGGTAGAATATAATTGAAGTATTACTTCCTGCCACTCACTTGCCAGTAATTTTTTAATTAGTTAGGATTTTTGTTCATTTCACCTCTATTATTTTGATAACTTTTCTGTTTGTCTCTTTTGTATGTAGTCAGGTATTCATCAATATGTACCGATAGTATATACGCCTAATTATGTTACAGTTTCCACTTATTTCTACTCATTTCCATTTAGTTCTTTTTTAATGATATCAGTTTGGTAGAGTATTGGGGTCATTAAAAATCTAATTTCTGTCCTCTAAAATAGTAACAACTGCATCTAGATTTAAGAGAACACTCTTAATATGTGATTAACAGTTCCAAAATTTGCTTTATCTCTTTGTTTTATTGTATTCCTCACCCCAGATTGGAAGCTCCATGATAATCAGGAGTCTTCTATCTTGTTCATCATGTCCCAGTACCTAGTAACAAAACATGAGAGATATAAAAAAAAAGGATAATTGAATGAACCAATTGATCCATCTAGAAGGAACATAAATATAGTCAAACTCCTATAATAATTTGTGAAAAGAAAATACATTCTATATTACTTTAAAATGAGAGAGTCACTTCCTATACATTTTCTCTCTAGTCAAGGACAGTGCTAATTGATATAAGCAGAGAGGTTTGCTAATGGTATGTGTGAATGTGTCCTCTTTGGTTTAGGTAGACTGTGTATCATGGGAGGAAATTGAAATGGCCTGGCACCAGGTTTTTTTTCTTTTTTCATGTTAAGTTTAAAGTTCAAATTATGGTCTTTAAGATAACATTAGTTCTCTTTGTTCTATAATGTTTAAAGAAAGTTAGCTGAGCCCTGGCCAGTTTGGCTCAGCGGTTGGAGCATCATCAGCCTGCAGTCCAGAGAGACCCAGGTTTGGTTCCCGCTAACGGTGCATGCCTCGGTTGCAGTTTGTCCCTAGCCCTGGTTGGTTATGTGGGTGGCATCCACTCGATGTGTCCCTTTTGCGTCGATGTTTCTCTTTCTCTCTCTCACTCCCACTCTATCTGAACAAAAAGTGGAAAAGGATGTCCTCGGGTGAGGATAAAAAAATAAATAATAAAAAAAAGTTAGCTGATTTACCTATAATTTCCAGGATGATCTATTTCCTCTTTTCAAAGATAAAATTATTTATTGTGCTTCTCCCTTAATTATACCTGATTTTATTTATTTGATAGATATAAGTTTCACATGCTATTCTCTGCATAATGCTTAAGTTAACTATATAAAATGTGAGGCTATACCTATACATGAAAATAGTCCACATATTGCTTTGCATTTTAATTACATATGAGTTTTATGATGCTCCAATATCCTTGTCACTGAAAGTAATCTGAGATAAATTCTATGCAATTCTTATTTGCCAAAATTATGATGTATTTTAGTTACTAAATCTTTAAATGAAAGATGGTCAGAGATCATTAAAAGGATTAACTGAAGTTTCCCCCAAAGTATCTACCTTCTTCAATTCTGAAACATAGTGTCTGCTTTTGAATTTAATACATAGTAGTCTTCTATATCAAGTATGATTTTTTATAGGGAAATAAAGGACCAACCTAATTTACACTGATTTAAACAATAAGACAATCAATTATCTCAAAAAACAGGTAGTCTAGAGTAGCTTTGTCCAATAAAAATTTAATGTGAACCTCAGATGAGAGCCACATATGGTATATTAAATTATCAAGTAGCCACATTTGAAGCAAGTGAAATTAATTTCAATACCATTTTATTCAACCTTAGCATCAAAAATAGCAGTTCAGCCTGGCCTGTGTGGCTTAATGGACTGAGCATTATTCCATGGACTGAGAGGTCCTGGTTGGGGCTCATGCTCAGGTTGCAGGCTCAATTCCTGGTCAGGGATGAGCAGGAGGCAGCCAATCAATGTTTCTATCTCTCTCACCTTTCTCTCTCTAAAAAAAAAAAAATCAATAAAAACATATGTTTTTTAAAAATAGCATTTCAATAGTTAATCAATATAGAATTATTAATGATATATTTTATATTCTTATTTTGTACTAATTCTTCAAAATATGATGTGTATTTTACACATACAGTACATCTCAATTTGGAATAACCACATTTCGAGTGTTCAGTGGTCATGTGGCTGATGGTTACTGTATTAGACAGTACAGTTCTAGAAGTATGGTTGCCTCTGAGTAAGATAGAATTATGGCTTGGCACAAATTGTTTTTCTCTTCCTAAATTTGGAGAATGAGCATTTATTTATACTTTTTCTATTTTTTTCAGCTTTGCCCTCATCTCCTTGTAAACTTCCAAAGTCTATAGTCACAAAAAACCTGCCAGCGGTAACTAGGGAACTTTCTTCCTTGTCCATTGTAAGTTTAGAAAGTGGTTACTCCCAAACAAATTCTGTCTTTCAATCAGATTGTACTAACTTAGGTTGTGTACCTATCCCTGGCTCAATGATAGTCACCATTTTGATGGTGGGGAAGAGGTGATATTTGATAATGTCTGAAGACATTTTTGATTGTTACAGCTGTGGGGGTGGGGGTCTACCGGCATCTAGTGGGTAGAAGCTAGGGATGCTGCTATATATTATAAAATACACAGAACACTTATCCCACCATAACAGAGTTATCTGTCTCAAAATAGAATCAAGACTGAGAGACCCTGCCCTAAGCTTATTATTTTAAGCCTCTATTCCAAACTAAACACTAACAAGTGGAATGAGATTATTGTTATTTTTAGATCTTCCAGAACCTACTACAGCTATAAATAGATTCAGCTTCACCTTAGATATGCAGAGAGTGGGCCCCTAAACTAAAAATAGTGTTAGAAGAAAGGAGAGGGCATGGGCAACTGTCTCAGTCCATCTGGGCTGCTCTAACAAAATACCATAAACCAAGTGACTTGTAAAGAACAGAAATTTATTTCCCAGTTCTGGAGTCTGAGAAGTCCAAGTTAAAGACACTGGCAGATTTGGTGTCTGCTGGAAGGCTTCCATATTTATAGACAGTAGCCGTTTCACTGTAATCTTACATGCTGGAAGTTGTGTGGGGGCTCTCTGTATCCTCTTTTATAAGGCCATTCAGCCCTGGCCGGTTTGGCTCAGCGGTTAGAGCGTCGACCTGCGGTCCTGAGAGACCTGGGTTCGGTTCCCGCTAAGGGCGCGTACCTCAGTTGCAGTTTGTCCCCGGCCCTGGATGGTCGTGCGGGTGGCAGCCACTCGATGTGTTCCTTTCACATCGATGTTTCTCTCTCTCTCTGTGTTCCTCTCTCTCCCTCCCACTCTACCTGAACAAAAAAATGAGAAAATGTCCTCGGGTGAGGATAAAAAATAAATAAATAAATAAATAAATACATAAAAAATAAAAATATAAGGCCATTCATACCATTTATGAGGACTCCACAGTCATGACCTAATCACCTCCCGAAAGCTTTACCTCCAAATACCATTACAGAGGGTATTAGGTTTCAGCATATGAATTGGGGTGGGGAGACACAAATATTCAGTCTATAGAGGCAACCAGTAGTATCCATGAAAGAACTAATTACTTGGAAGATTATAATAGTATATATGTAATTCCATAAGTATACAAATGACCAATAAGCAAAGCACATGAAAAGATGCTCCTCGACATCACTAATCACTGGGAAAATGCAAACCAAAACAACAATGAAATACTACCTCACACCCAATAGGATGGCTACTATTGAAAAAATAGAAAATAACAAATGTTGGCAAGGATTGGGAGTAATTGAAATCCTTGTGCCCTTTTGGTGGGTAAAATGGTATAGCCACTGTGGAAAACAGTGTGGTGATTCCTCAAAACCTTAAACATAGAATTATCATATGACTCAGCAATTCCACATCTGGATGTATACCCCAAAAAATTGAAAGCAGAGTCTTGAAGAGATATTTGTACACCCATGTTCTTAGCAGCATTATTCACAATAGCTGAAAGTTTTAAGCAACACAAATGTCCATCAACAGATGAATGGATAAGCAAAATGTGGTGTTTACATACAATGGAATATTATTCAGCTTTAAAAAGGAAGAAAATTCTGATATATGTTTCCAACATAGATGAACCTTGTGGATACTATGCTATGCAAAATAAGACAGTCACAGAAAGATAAATACTGCATGATTCCATTTATATTAGGTATTTTGAGTGGTCAAAATCATAGAAATAAAAAGTAGAATGGTGTTTGCCAGGGGATGGAGAGAGGGGAGAATGAAGAGTTATCATTTAATAGGTATAGGTTTCAGTTTTACAAGATGAAAAGAATTATGGAAATAGATGGTAGTGATGGTTTGCAGGACATTATAAATGTATTTAATACCACTGAAATGTACACTT